TATTCATTTTATTACTGTAGAAAAAAGTTTGAATAGTAAATCGTGAATCGTGACTAGCGTTGTATTATTAGTATTATAATAGGTGATAACAACATTATGTCCCTTTTTTTTTTTTGTTTATTTGTTTTTTAAATATTATTAATTTCTAAAATAATTTAAATGAAACAATATTTATAATATTTAGTAGCCATGTATACTATACACTATTAAATTAATAAAACGGTAGCACAGTGGGGTCGAGGCACAGTGTAGACAAGGCATAGATGGGACAAGTATAGATGATATTTGACAGTGATTTAAATCACTATCATAAGAAACGCTTCGATGCAAATCTGTAGATAGTATTTCATTTAAAAAAAAAATTTGTTAAAATAGCATATTTTTGAATACGGTAGCCGTTTGCGTATAGAAGATAGATCGTCGGGACAAATTTTTTGTTTTCATTTTGTAGTACATAAAATAAGCTTTAATTTGATATATGTTTAAAGGACGCAGTATTTCCGGAACATTTTCAAAAGTTCAGTTGAAAAAGATCTATGTTTTTTACAATATTTTAAGTTTTGAACGCCCCCTATATAAGGGGAAATTGTCCAATTTTAATAAAAAGTATGTCAAATGAAAGATGTACTTATAATGTATTTAGAAAAAAAAAATTTGTGCTGATATATACATTTTTCAAAAAGTTATAGCATTTTTAAGTTGAAAATTTAAAATCGAAAATCGAAAATTTTAACACAAAAATAGTGTTTTTTTAACTACGGCAGCCGTTTAAATGTAGAAAAAAAAGTGTCGGGACAAATTTTTTTTTTTCATTTTGTAGTACATAAAATAAGCTTTAATTTGATATATGTTTAAAGGACGCAGTCTTTCCGGAACATTTTCAAAAATTAAGTTGAAAAAATTAATTTTTGTAAAAAAGTTGCCATTTTAAATCCCCCCCAATGAGCAGGTTAAGTGATAGATTTTCAAAAAAATGATATCAAATGAAAGGTAAATATCTAAGGTTTTAGTATAAAAAAAAATTATGTTGATTTGTTGATTTTTCAAAAAGTTATGGAAGTTTTAAGAAAAAAAAGTGAAAAAATTTCGAAAATTAGCGATTTTTAAATTTGTAATTTTTTTGGATATTTCCCCCATTTGCGGGGAACGAGGGAATTTTTTTCAATTTTTAAGGGTAATGTCTTCAACTAGATACGATTTGTGATCTTTTGACGTATTTTTGAAAGAAATCGGTCCAGTGAGAGCTGAGAAAAAGTGGCAACAGACATAAAAAAAAAAAAAAAAAAAAAAAAAAAAAAAAAAAAAAAAAAAAAAACACATCATAGTAAAATTAATACCTTCTCCGCTTCGCATCGAAGCTAAAACATAAATACATTTATGGAATTTTACTCACATAAAATCAATAAGAGGAAAAAAAATAAATAAAATGTTTAGAGAGGATTTTTAAATTTTAACAAATCACCAAATATAGCGTTACTCTGGTAACAAACTTATATATTTGTAAAATTTTTGATCCATGTAAAAATATATAAGTTTAAACAAGCATAACATGAATGTAAAGGCATACTAATATTTTTATGTTTAATTTATTAATAATATTTTAGGTGATATTGAAAACTTGTTTTTTTTTGTGTACAAAATCAGTTACATTTTAAATGCTTTAATTAAAAAGAAAATTAATTTTAAAAAAGTTTCTTTATTCAAGAAACTTTTAACAAACAACACACTTTTGTTTTATTTATAACAATATATGTTTAATAACTTTGACATTTTCATAATAGTCCTTTAAAAACAGAAATTCGTATCAAATTTATTAACGTGTTAACAAATAAATGTATAATCATTGCTAAACTTGTCCAGGAATTTTTTAATACCATATATCAGCGTAAGTCCATTAAATTGCAAACTTATTATTGAGTATACTAGTCTGGTATTGTGTTTAACATAATAAAATAAGGATCAATTTTTATTTTCTCGTTTTTCATTTTATTTTGTTCGAAAATATCAATTCTGGTTTATGAAGCATTAAACTTTTATGTGTATATTTATTATGTATTCTTGAAATAAATTTCAGCTTTAAATGTCTATTGATTTTATAACGTTTTTCTGTTTATGGAATAAATAGATATATATTTATTAGTTTCATACAAATTTTTGATCTATTATACGCCATTAGATATTTTCAGTACTAATTAATTAGTAGATATTTTCTCAAATTGTAATTTTATCATTTAATTGCAAGAGCGTAAAAAATGTACTTCGAACATCCTATTTAGTACTATACATATCATTAAAAAAGACCAAATTATTATGTGTAGTACTAAAATTAATTTATTATACATATAATGTGCTTTACTGTGTACAAAGTAAACTGTACGATTTAAAATTGTTTTTTATAAAAAGTATCTAGACAGGTATAGCCTTTGTTATTTTCACTCTAGTAAGCAAATATTAATGACTGAGATAGAATTTGTAAGTTATATATTTAAAAATGTCTTATATTTTTCCTTAAATAAATTTTAAATTAATGTTGTTTTGTTATGATTCGGTTATTAATTTTTAAAGTTTTTGAATTAAGTTTAATATTTGTGTAAACCTTTTTAAAAAAAACTTATATTTTTCTAACTTGTGATTTTCTTAAAATAGTTCAAAAAAGTTTCTATTTTTGAACTTATATTTATGAACAACAGAATACGTCATAGTAAAATATGTAAAATAAGTACTATAAATTTTATACAAGTCAGTTAGAAAATGTAAAAATCTTGACTTTATATTTTATTTTTAAATACTCATAATTTATGAATTATCTTTGTAATCAAATTTCCCAATCTAGTATTTGCTTTAAAATTCCAATGTTTCTTTTAGGAATTTTTGGTCTCTTTTATTAAGCTTTTAACTCGTTAGTTAAATAAATCATATAGCAGAAAATGCTATTCCTTTATGTTTATTAACATTTTCTTTAATTGTAATAAAGCCAGAACTATCGAAAAACAAAATACTTAAGTTTTAACTCCGAAAAATTCATCTTTTGTCCTCTTCGAGGAAACGTGTTCAATTATAAATTTTATGTTTTTATTTTTTCCACTTCAAGCGTTGTAATAAGGAATTTAATTTATCAAAGTTTTAAAACTTAACTTAAACATAAGTATACACTTTGAAAACCCATTAACATTTCATAGTTATACCAAAAATTAATTTATATGTTTTAGAAAATTTAAAAATCATATCTTCATTATTGTAAATGGTAAAAACTTTATTTAATATTTTAAGTACTGCATTAACATTTTTTAAGGAGTTCTTGCTGAGTGATAAAAAATATTTTCAAAATAAACAATCTGTTATTGAAATTATATAAGTATTATTTTAAATATTTGTGTTGCCTAGTTGGTAGAGAAAAGATTGAAAACAAAAAATTAAGTGACAAAATAATTTCACTGGACAACATTGGTGCTCAGTTTACTAGTTCATTAATACAATCTATTGTTATATATATTTGGAACTATAGTTATATAGAATTAATTTAGATATTTTAAAATATTTTTTGAGAATATTGCTAATTTGTTAAGCATATATGGTATATTGTTTGATCATCAAATTATAATAAAAATAATTGATTACATAAAATTACTTTAGCCAAATTAAACTTTTACTTTAATGGATGAAAAAATTAAGTGATTTTCATGAAAATTATATGTAAATGAAAAGTACTTTGTAATAAGTTTTAATGAATTAAATTTTTCAATTAAGTTTTATTTTTCTTTTCATCTATTACATGATTACCATTAGATGATATTGTTTAATATTAATTTTTTATTCAATACACTGCTTGTATCTCGTATCCTCAGCGCTGTCATAATGTCGAATACATTGAACGAAGTGGATCTTTTGTGAGTGTCTGATTGCTTCGAACAAGGTTCACCCCTGTCAAAATCTCCCTCGCCCTCGAAGGGGTTCCCCGTAGGGTTAATTATTACGTCTCTATCCTCCAGTTTTATTGGCTATGTTATATTTGTGTAGATTTCCTGGAGAGAGCTGCTCCCTATTTTCTCCAATGCCTTATGTATTGAATAATAGAGTGGAATAAAAAACGTATCGTAAAAACCACTCGTAAACTACGAGTTGCTCGAAATGTCAATATGAAAAAAATAAATTCTTGTCTAGAACGTGGATTTTAATTGGCTCTTATGTCGTGTCTCCCTTTCATTTTGTACGCGATAGAATACAACCCCGTAGACTGATTTAAAACGTACGTAAATAAGCTTAATCCTACGCCGTAGGACTTATTATAAAAAAAAATGTGTATATAAATAATAAAAATTACAGAATCCCAAATGTTTAATGACGTATAATTTGTACGACAGCTATTATATTTTCTTTGGCGTTTTTGTGCTTCACTGCTGTTTTTTATGTGGTGCATTGTGAAGAAGGCCATCCAACTTAAGCTGACAGTGATTGTCTACTTTTGTATTTATTTATCTTTAATTAAATATTTTATTTCCCTATACCCGCTGTTATAATAAACTTGCCATCTTGATTTTATCATAGAATATCATGTTGTTTGAAAAATATAGTTATTCATTATAAAAAGTTAGCTAAGCTATCATATGCTTATGAATTATATTTTTTGTAGTACTTTAAGCGTTTTTAGCGTTAAAATTAATTTAAAATTTGTTACCAGTTTTCGCGTTACACAGTTTTTAGTAAAACTGCTAACGTTAGCCTAACCAAATTCAATAGAGTATAGTCAGATATTATTAATTAGACATTTTTTAAAATTTGGTTATACATATATTTAATTTTTATTACATGCTGCTTAATACGCATATATAATACGCAAAAAAAATAGACTGTAATTCATAATAATTTATTTGAAATTTGATTTGAATTGCCATTGCAAATATACTTAAAATGTTTTAAATGTTCACAAAAAATTATGTTTTATAAATAAATTTATCAAACTGTGTTTATATGTGTAGATTAAAATTTGATAATAATTATAGAACGTATCGATAAAATAGCTGAAGAAGAGTTTCAAGCAAAATTAACAGAATGGATGCAGAAAGAACAAGAAGTCAAACAACCAAAAGAAAAAAAAAGGAAAATGCTAAAAGAAAAAACTACAGGTATGCTTTATTACAATACAAATTTTATTTATAAGGCTTCTTATGGACATCAATTCCATTTGAATAACATTTTATTTGGTTTTAAAGAAAAGGTTGTTAAATTTTGTCGAAAAATTAATTTAAAAAGTGGTGTCTGTCTATTTAGTGATTGCAATATACTAAAAAACAAACAAATATTTATACTTAAATTAACTATTGAGTTAATAACAATTATTTAACTAAAAAACGTGCCTAAAATTATGCAAATGCGGATGTATATCAACAATTTATTTTCTTGTGAATTATTAACGAATACACCATTAAATTGATGTTTAATGTACTTTCTTAGTCTTTCTATTAAATCTCTTACTGTTATAGAATATACATTTATTTTGTGATTAACATGAAATTTACTAATTGTATTATCTATAGATATTTATTGGAAGTAGTGAGCTAAATCTTAAAAATGTAGAAGTATCATTGTGAAATTCATACTAGTAACGCATCCTGTAGTAATATAAATCACTTATTTGTATTACTAATTTTCTCAATAATTGGTCACTCTAGTGTACTTTATCATTCCAAAATTAGAATTATTGTTGTATGACATCTCATAATACTCCGTTTGATAAATTTAACAGTCTAGGGGTTACTTATTAGTAACTTAGTAAGTTTCCTTCGATCGTCTCTTTAATAATAGTAGGGAGTATGCAAATTTTAGCTTTTCAAAATATATTCACATAAACGTCTAAAGTGATAGGATCTTTTATAATATTCACTAATATTTAAAAAATCATTTTAATATAAACCATGTAGATGATTTTATCGTTAAAAATGAATATAATATACGCGAGACATAGGCGAATTTTCTTTTAATAATTAAAGTATTAATTATAAGAGTTTGAAAATGTGTACAAATATTGAATGTGTTTTATTAATATAATGTATCATTTTTATAAATTTTTTTGTATTTACGGTAAAAAATTGTCTTTCTGACTTTTGTTTGAAGTAAAAGCGTTTACTTCGGTTATCGTGAAATATGTGCAATTTAATTAAAAAATACGCATTTTAAAGAAAATTTGAAGAAAAAAAATGAATTTTTTATAAATATTTATTACCGAAATAAAAAATTAATNAAAATTTGAAGAAAAAAAATGAATTTTTTATAAATATTTATTACCGAAATAAAAAATTAATTACCGTGATACATTTATTTTGCAGCATATAAATAACGCATTAATTTGTTGAACTAATTATTTATTCGTGGGGTTCAATTAATTTATGATTTATATTATAATACGCGTAAATATTTTTAATTACTTATACATTTTTATAAAAATTAGAAAGTGTATTTCGAGATTAAAATTGTAAAAACAAATTATTTGATAATATCAATTAATTTTTTTTTTTTTTTTAATGAACTCAAGAGTATCTTTATGTGTACGTTACGCGAGACTACGTAGGTAGAATTTTAAGCTGATATTATATTTAAATGCAAAAGCTCGACAATTATACCGCAGCTTGAAATAAAAAATATAAATGGCTTTGTACTCGTTATTATGACTTCATCGTTTGAAGCAACTAGTATTCATAATTCAAATAACATACAAACATAATTTAAATGTAATAATATTTATAATTTAAGTGCATACTTTGCTTTTTAATACGTCTCCATTACAAAAAAAGAAATATTGCTGTGTTGGTTAAAGCGGTGAAAAATGCCCCGAATTATACTTAAAGAGAGAGATGACCGTTAAAAAAAGGGCGTATCCACGGCAACGGTTACAGAAAGGCGTTGCTATTATCACGCTCACCACCGCTGGTATCCATAGCAACTGGACTTAGGACACCTTCAGACACACGTCGGTGTTGAGCCTTTAGGCAATACGTGCGCATGAGGAAGTTCAAAAGCGCCAGGGGTCTGATAACGTTGCTGGGTTGTGAAGTTGTTATATTAGACAGCTACACTGTTGTGTGTATTTCCCTGACGGTACCTTTTCTCCCCCTTTTCCCCTCGAAACTTCCATTAATATTTCCTGTCAGTCGACGTAAAATCTACTTTGTGCTTTTCCCGAGTTACTTTGTGCTTGTGATATAGACGGATAAATGGTAATAGATTTTTTTACAGTGAATGCAACATTTCAGGATAATATAAATAAATAGGATATAATGGGCACAATTTTTTGTTTTTTACAAAATATAAGCCCACCCGTCTGAAACGATTGCTTTATATTGACTTTAAAAAGTATTTTAGCCACACTCGATTAAATGTTTTTCTCTGTCCCAATGATGTACAAACCTTTTTGAAAATTCAATTTTCGTTCAAATGATCAAAGATAGTATCACACTCAGATATTTTTAAGCTGGCTAAATATATACAAATAACTCCGTTACGTGTGAACGTATTTTATAAATAAATTAAAAGATAACAGTTATGTCAGTTTTTAATTGCAAATTTACTTTTTCATTACTAAGCGTTTTACTGCTAATAAGTTTTTGGAATTTTTAATTATCTCAAGTTATAAAGGAAGAAGAAGAAAAACTAGATTACAGTTGTAATAACAAGTAAACAACTAAGTTTTATCAAAACGGAAAAGCTCATTCTGATATTCTAGTATATATTTCTTATATCAAACAATATATAAAATCTATAATAAGTGCAAAAAATGATGTTTATATTTTTTTGTAATTCTCTAGTAGTTTTTTTTTTATATTTGAGCTAATTTACTCGTGGCTCATCTTTAAACAGTACACACGTACAGTAAATAAATAAACGAGGGCAATCATATTAGCAAAAAAAACTTTTTTAATCATCCAAGTTAATCAGGCTTTTTGTAATTATATCTTAATCCTTTCATTTCTCTTTGAGTACTAAACAAAAGGAACAATAATATACACCTAAATGTAAGTACACTCCATGTTTTTTTTCCTTTTGACGAAACACCTTGTGCCGGCTGTGTTTCCATCGTGCGCGGCATTCTTTTGACTCAATGAAAACCAGATACGATTACATGTGTTCACGTGGCTTATCGTTTTCCCGCATCCTTTCCTCAATAAAACGTTCGCTAGTCGCATACAGGTAATAATGGAATCATCACGAGTATTAAGAGGGATGGTCAAATGCTCCAAACGTGTATACAAGTATATTTCAGTAGAAATAAATAAAATGCTACAATACAATATGTCGGTACATTTGTAATAACTGAGTGTACGTTTTTATTGTCCCAGAGGGTTCTCTAAAAACTAAAAACTACTGTTAGAGACCATTTCACATTCATTCTAATTCTTATCAGATTATATTTAGTGAAACCCAATTGCACAAATCCATTTTATAACAATGATGTTATTCTATCGCGATTAACCTTTAAGTAAAGAATTACTTTCTAGTATTGTATTCTTTACAACATTCATTCATCAGAAGTTAGAAAAATATAAAACAAATTCAATTTCTAGCATTTTTCCACTGTAAAGGCCAACATAGAAGAAAAACAATTTCAATATATTAAAATGTAACCATAGAAATGTTTAGTTTTAATTATAATTCAATATTGTTTGAATATAATAATAATAGGCCCTAGAAAGTTTAGTAAAGATTGATATACCTAATCACAAGAGGTGGGTTACAAATCGAAAATGAAAGAATCATTTTTTGTAACTATCTAAATTTTTTTTTTCATTTTTGCGGTTTTATTGTGTTATAGTAATATAAAAATATTTTTCAACAAAAAGATTCGTCAAATTTCTTGAAATTTGTTTTACAAAATATTAGCTTTTGTAATCAATTTTGTAACATTTTCTGTGATAGATTATTATTTGTGAATGTGTTGAAACTTTCGTGGATTGTCGTATTGCTTGAAATGTTTACGGATGTGTCCACGTTTTCAAGATCATTATATATTTAAAATTACTCTTAAATTGGTTTTAATTTTTCATTTGTAAATTACTGAATTATTAATTATTTATTCGGTTAAAATGTAAAAAAAATAAATAAATCGGGATTCTAGAAAGTCAGAAAATTCGTCTGGATTTGAGGACCTTCTATGCAATCACATTTTCTACATTTCACTATTTACATCATTGTACTTACAAATATCTTATAATAAATTTCGTATTTCAATAATATTTTTTTGTAAAAATTATGTACATGCATATGATGGATACACAAGAATAAGCATTAAATAATTCCTTAATCAATTCAAACGTTTAATCTAATATTGAATTTTATTTTGGTTATACTTTGTTAACAACTATAAATTTCTCTCTTGAAAAATTGTGGAACTAAACTTCAAGTTAATTTTCACAATTTTTCAAGTAGTTGTGAGAGTGTTAGACTTTAAATAGCGCTCATAACCACTATATATTGAAAAAATATACTTTTGTAAATAAGAAAGTAATAACAATTCCATTATGGCATAATAATATATGTTTAGTATTGCTAAATTATTAATAATAATTAAAAGTTTATGTGATGTTACTACTTTCGAATGTTATCATCTTTGAATGATTTGTTAAACTCTAAATTATGTACAAACTATATAGATTTATATAATGTGTACGAATACAAATATTCACGTTATCAACGCAGTTATTCACTTGAGTGTACAAATATTTTATTAATCAGTGTCAGAGTCAATGGTTTTTTTTTTTTGAACTTGTATTTTTCTATTACTCTTGTGTCGTATTGCACAGATTTCCATTTTAAGTGTGAAACTCTATGGTTTCGGTTTCCCTTGGCAACGAACCAGTGGACGTGTCCAATAAAAATGCCGGGCCGGACGTGGAAGTCCGTCGGTAAAATGGCCGCGGCGATCGATTGCCGGCGGGTTTCGAACCAACGCCTTGATCGACGCCCTGCCCTGCTTTTATTTAGCTTTATCAGTACAGCCACCCCTCAAACCTATAAATTTCTCACCCTTTGTTTCCTCTCCCTCAAATAACATCCCACTGCCTGATCTCATGGTCACACGTGTATGCTTCAAAACACACAAGGATCCTTTAGGTCCTCATGTTCATTCGCCTGTTTGTATAAAACATATACGTCACTGAATGGTAAACGAATAATTTCCCAATAGACGATCTATCATGTAAACAAAAGTTTTATTCGAAATACGGTGACATCATTAAAACTTTCCACAAAGTTTTCTACATTTAGTAGTAATATATGTTCTATTCAGTGTAATAAATAAAATACAAATATTTTATATTAAAGCTTTTTTATGTATTATATGTGTAAATATTCTTAGAATAAATTATATTTGTTCCCGACAAATTTTTGTAATTAAATGTAATTGATTCTTGTATCCAATGATTAATTCTGTAGTTCTTAGGCGAGGAGTCCTAAATCTAAATAAATTAATGTTGATAAATTCGTGTAAATTTAAAAATAATTTTCAACTTATTTTAGACGCTTTACTGAACTACAGCGGATTTTTTCAACATTTATTTTAAAATATTACATTTATTAAATAAAAATTTAAGAGTTTCAATAAATTTTTTTTTTTTATATTAAAGATGTCATATTTTATTTGTATTAAAAAAACTTTGTTAATTTGAAACCACACAAATTGGAAATCATTAAAGATCAACTGCAATTAAAATTACTCTCTTAAAATAATCTAAAACGCATATGTGATAGTTTTGCTCAAATTTTGATATTAATTCAAATTGATTTAATTGAGATGTTTTCGAAAATACGGTTAATAATATTGGTTTATTAAGAATTAATAATTGATGATATCTCAACTAAAACATTCCTGGTATATTCACGAATATGTCTTCTACATGGCGTTTATACGGCTTCTTAATATTTATGAATTTCTATGACTTCCTCATATTTGTGCATTTCTACGGCTTCTTCAAATTTGTGCATTTCTATGAATTCCTCAAATTTGTGCATTTCTACGGCTTCTTCAAATTTGTGCATTTCTACGGCTTCTTCAAATTTGTGCATTTCTATGGCTTCCTCAAATTTGTGCATTTATATGGCTTCCTTAAATTTGTGCATTTCTACGGCTTCTTCAAATTTGTACATTTCTATGGCTTCCTCAAATTTGTCCATTTATATGGCTTCTTTATGTTTTGTGCATAAACATTTAGAAGACTTATAATAGCACAAATATTCAGAAGCCATAGAAATGCACAAATTTGAGGAAGCCATAGTAATGCATAATTATGAAAAAGTCATATAAATTCCTAAATATTAAGAAGTCGTATAAACACTAGGAAATGTTATAGAAATGCAATATAAAATCAATTATAAACCGTATTCGTGAATATACCAGGAATTAATGTAGTCGAGATGTCATTAATTCTTACTAAACCAATTTTATTAATCGTATTTTCGAAAACACCTCAATTAAATCAATTTGATCAAAATTAGACATATGCGTTTTATATAATTTTTCATAAGTATGACTTCTTAGTATTTGTGCTTTTTTATGTCTTTTAAATATTTATATTAATACTAAACATAAGGAAGTTATATAAACGCATAAATATGTGGAAACCATAGAAATACATAAATATTAAGAAGTTGTATAAATTATGGGAATCAATATTTAATATTGGTTCACATAATTTTTCCTTGATCTTGGTCCTCTCTCACCTTTGGCCTTATTATTTCTTCAGCTATTAACACTATCTGAACATTGTTAAAATACAATAACAGCAATTTAAAAACTAATATAGTTTCTACAAGTTTTCCTAATAAAACGAAGCCATAGTAATTTAGAGAGTTATAAACAACATTTTAAAGTTTTTCAGTTAATTAAAAACGAAAAAAACATTTTTGTCGTTTTTTTCTTTTCATAACTAACCTAAGCTGTATCTGTCATTAGTTTTTGTCGGTGTATTTTTAATGGTAGTATAAAAAAAAGTAGTAAAGAAAAAGTTTTTAATGATTTGTATATCATTGGTGAACATCGTCCCCGAGGGTCTTTTTACAAAAGGATTTTACAGAACCCTCTTCCGTTTGCCATTATTAAAAGTAAGTTGGAAAAGAAAACGCGATTAATAATAACCCCACACAATCATGTGCTTTTAATCCATCGTCCTTCCACCACGCTTGTTATACGGTAGAATGTTTACTAGGAATAAATGTCTGTTTATAATTTTGTCCTTATACGTTAGTTGAGTGAACTGTAAACCACTTCATGTTTGAATTGTATAATTTCAATTTGTATTATGTTTTGATATTCAAATATTGTCCGTTCAGTTTTTCAGAAGTCACCAGTTAAAGTTCATGAAACAATTACTCTGAGTGATGGCGATTCAGATGAAGAAATGGCTATTTTCAAACAACCTGGTAAAAAAAGAAAGATAAATAATGAGTCAATGAACTCATCAAAAAATGACTCAATTATGACCAATGATGATAGTGCTAACAATAGTTTGATGACCGAAGATGATGAAGAACCGGAGGTTTCAAAAAGTGGTCCCCCCAAAAAAATCAAGTCGGTCAATCAGATGAAAAATACATTAAATAATAATAATAACTGAATATATTTTTTTTAAATTTTAGACCAAAAATTCCTGTTATATTTTTTTGTACAAGAACTCATAAACAAATCTCTCAAGTTGTGAAAGAATTAAAAAGAACAAACTTCACAGAAGTCAAGTGCGTTAAATGTATGTAATATGTTAAAATACTTCTATATTCAATTAATCATGTTTTTTAGGAGTTGTGTATTGGCTAGTCGCGAGCACATGTGCATTCAAGACATCAACGTTCTAGCACCTCAAGTAAAATTTAAATCAAAAACTGAAATGTGTAGAGAATTAATAGATCCTAAAGCAGTAAGTTGTAAAACGGTTTTTTGTTACATGAAAAAAATTTTATCAAATTTTACTAATGTTTAAAAATGTGTAAAAATTGAAGATATCTCTGCTCAATATAACTTATCTAGTTTTTGTTGAAAAAACCGACTGTTTAATTCTTGACATTAAAAAACTGATTTTACATTTTATTTTTGGTGTCAACAATAATTGTTGACACCAATTTATAATTATTATGAATCACTGAATTTTTATTAATTTGATTTATGTAATTATATGATATATCTATATAGAGAATGAGAAATTCTATGAAATTAAAAAGGCCTGTCGACAAATGTTGTTTTCATGATAATGGTGGTGTTAAATTAAGTAACTATAACCAACTGAGTTCGTTCGGTTTGTCTTCCGTATGGGATGTTGAAGAATTAGTTCAAATGGGTGAAAAACGTAATTCGTGTCCTTATTACGGCTCTCGTTTGTTAATGAAACATGCTGACATAATTTTCTGTCCTTATAACTATATTATTGATCCTACTATTAGGAAGACTGTAAGTATTAAGTTAACTCTTAAAAAGGCGCTTAGTTAATTTCTTTTTTTGTACAGATAAATGCGAATCTCAATGGTCATGTACTTATTGTAGACGAAGCTCACAATATTGAAGATCAGTGTCGAGATGCCGCTAGTCTTCAATTGGACCAAACAAATCTAAATTTGGCGAAAATGGACTGTGAAAAAATGTCTCGTCTGGGTTCCAACTCATCAGAGTACGGTGCACTGGTAAGCATAGGTATCAAATTAATGGTGTACAGAGTTGAAAATATCTAGATAAATGTCATTTTTTTTTTTTTTTAACAAAATTAATTTTATAAAACTATTAAAGCATTTTTAGCATTGATGCAAAAGATGATGAAAATGAATTAATTTTATTACAATGTGTTTGGTTTTTTTTATGTTTGTCTCTTTTTTTTCCTGTCCTACTGGACCGATTTTTTCAACAATAAGTCAAAAGATCAAAAATTATTTAGTTGAAAGCAACTCAAAAACTCTCAAAAATTAAAAAATATTCTCTCTACTCCTGTAATTGTATAAAATCCTCAGAAAAATCAAGATTTTTTTAATTTGTTAATTACAACAATTTTTTACTTACTGCCATAATTTTTAGAAACATAAAGAATCATAACAAAAAAAAAAATTTCATTACTTTAAATATGTTCCTTTTCATCTTTTTTTTTAGAAGTTGTACCTTTTACTTGCTCACTAAGAAAGTTTCAAAATAACAACCTTTCAGAAAAAAAAAATGTTTTTTGTGTAAATATAAAAAAAATTCAGAATATTTAATTACATTTTGTAAAAATAAAAATGTTTTAAAGGATTTTTGAAAATAAATGTTAAGCCTATTAATGTATTAGAAATGATAAGTAGGATAATGAATTCCTCTTCTCATCAAAACATTTTTTATTTATCTGATTTAAATAATTTAATATATTTTTTTAGGCCCAATATTTATCTGATCTTTCAATATGGATCGATAAAAAGTCGGCCGAAGTTAAATCATATGATGACTACAACAGAGGTGTTATTTCATGGTCTGGCATTTATACCGTAGCAAGTTTTAATGAATTTGGTTTAGGATTGGATACTTTTGAGAAATTTAAAGTAAACCGTAATTCTATTTGGCTAACTATACATTTTTCTTTTGTATATTAATATTGTGTTTTAATAGGTGAATTGCCAAACTGTTTTAAGCGAAACTACGGATGGGGAACAAATAGAAGTAAAGTCACCAGAGAAGACGGATAGCGTAAAGAAAAAACAAGAAGACATGGAAATTTCCAATGCCACCAAACAATTATTAGGATCTATTATTACAACTTTTGAATTTCTTTTTGACGAAAAATATAAAAATGACTATCATGTTTCTTTGGAAAAAGTGATGCAAGTGAAAAAGTATGAATACAATGATTCTGTGAGTAATTCTATTTATATTTATATTTTAAATTTTGTCTTCTTTATTCAATATAACTATTATTATTTTTTAAATAGCCATTGACTGTCGATGGTTGGATTAATGATTCTAAAGAAAGCAGAAAAGACTCACGCACCATATGGGTGAACATAATTAGTTTTTTATGCTTGAATCCAGGGGCAGTCTTCGAGGATTTAAAAATTTCTATGCGAAGCATAATCCTCACCTCAGGTACTTTGTCACCAATGGACTCTTTCCAGTCAGAACTGGGAACTCAGTTTCCAATAGCATTGGAAGCCAATCATGTTATTAAATCTGACCAGTGTTGGGTGACCTCTGTAAGTACTGGGCCTAATCAAATAGATTTAAATGGACAACATCAAAATACCAACACATTCGCATTTCAAGATGAAATGGGGCGAGTGTTAAAAAATGTTTGTGAAACGGTCCCTTATGGAGTGTTGTGTTTTATGCCTTCATATGTGCTTATGGATAAACTTTATGAAAGGTGGCAACTTACTGGAATGCTGAAAGAAATCAGTAATATAAAACTAGTGTTACGAGAACCTCGACGTGGAGATGAATTAGAAGGGCTCATGTACAAGTATTACAATGTTATTAAAGGAGCTCAATCTGGCACCAGTGGCCGTCTTACGGGTGCTCTATTTATGGCAGTTTATAGAGGTAAAATCAGTGAAGGACTTGACTTTTCTGACAACAATGCTAGAGCTGTTGTTGCCGTAAGTATTCATAATAATATCTATAATAAAGCTCTTAATCAGATTATAATTCTGTATAGGTTGGTATACCATTTCCTAATTACAAAGAAGTAGCTGTTTCTCACAAAAAAGAGTACAATAATAGACATTACAAAGAAAAAGGATTATTAAATGGCTGGCAGTGGTATGAAATCCAGGCATACAGAGCTCTAAACCAGGCTCTAGGTCGATGTATCAGACACAGAGACGATTGGGGTGCCATATTATTAGTAGACAGCCGATATGCAGAGCAGAAACGTACAGCTGGCTTATCTAAATGGATCAGATCAAGGGTAATTTCAGTAAAAAATATTTTTATAATTTCAGTGTAAAATATTTTTATGTTTTTATTGTTATTGAATTAAAATGTACATATTTTGTGTTCAGGTGGAACGTCCAGAGTCGTGGTCAACAGTTATTGATAGACTTAAATTCTTTATAGAGTCTAGACAGAATGATGACTGATAAATTACTCTTTGTCATCTATTTTCATTTACCATCATTAAATAGTACAAATTACATTTTGATTTTCCTCTTATTTGTTATAAATTACATTTTTTTTGGTTTGTGTAAATTATTAAAATTTGTATTATTATCGACTTTATTTAAAGTTTAAAAGATGTGCAGTTATTCATTTTCTTAAATATTTATAAAAAACATAAAAACATGTATTATTATCATAAAGCATTTATATACTTCTCGACATAATTTTTTTATTGAGTAGTAAAATCGTTGAGTAGTAATTTTGAACATAAAGACTCAAGAAATGACAAAATACATACATGGTCAATTAATAAATTACTGTGAATTTTTGAATTGTGAAATTTTAATATTTAAATAAATGTATGTTTATGAAATAAAAAAGCTCAATAGTATACTGTAAATTATATTGTTTTTTGTAAATTATCATGTCAAATAGATCAACATTTTATGCTGGTTGTTATAAAAATAAAAAAACTAGTAAATTGTTATATCTTATCTTAGAAGATAAGACGTAGAAAATTAGCATAACTGTAGTATTCAACTTTATTTCTTTTATTCTATTTTTGTCACATTAAACATCAAGTATCATTTAATATTAAAGAATTAAATTAACTATTCTATAAAAATTCATGTTTAAAAAAAAATCTACTAAAGTGATTTTTAATTATAAGGTTTCTTTTTTAATCTTACTATGTTGGTAAATTGATAATAATAAAAATAATTTATAAAAATAAACTGATATATTAAAACAATTTCGAAACTGTCATAAAGATTTACTCACATATCTTAAAATATTTATTTGGTAATTAATGATAAATTAAAAACTTAACGAAATTTATTTGAAATAAATGTATTTTTTGTTTATTCTACAATAAATAATTCATTAATTTTCTTTAGTGTAATTAAAATTTACATTATTTTTAGTAATGTGTTAGTGTTACCTATTTGATTAATGCCATATGTGATAATCTATAATTTGTCCTATAAGAATGAAAAATTTCTAGCGCAAAATTAATGATTTTTCAATAACTACTTTTAAAAATAAAATTATCTTACAGTTTTGGACCTTTTTATTTTTAATACTAATTATTTTGCTATAAAACAACTTTATTTATGGTTTAAAAGATGCACAATTATTAAATTTCTTAAATTTTTTTAAAAATAATTTTTGAAAAATGCAGATTGAATCATAAAATTCATTTTTAACTTTTAATTTCCCATTATAAAATTTCAACAACATAGAAAAAAAATCAACATTTATTACACAATACATAATAATTTCATAAATTCAGTACAAAAGTTACAAATATACGTCATAATATATTTAACATAATAAACATAAATAATAATAATGACATAATGTCATCAATGGACGGTTAACAAATAATATGATTTCTTGTTCATAGTCTTGTCCTTTGGAAGACTGGGGGAAAAAGATATAATAGAGAGCTATGACAAACGGAATAATCACAATAAATGCGAAATCAAAATAATAATACTACTAATATAATTCACAAATAAATTATCTTTACAAATTTTGTTTGGTCAATAAAATCATGTTTTTGGTGGGAACTTCATTCAGTTAATTTCATAAATGTTTTGTCAATTTGAGTCCAGGCTCTGAAATAATGATAAATATATATCAAGATGTTACATACAAAAGCAAATATTTTATTTTTGATTACAATTAATTTGTTTAATAAAAATGTTTAATTTATCCCCAAAATAATATTTTAAAGTTTTTGTCAAAATAAACACATTAATGTGTATTAAATTGCTTCACTTCAAAATTAGAATTTTATTTTATTTATTTAAACTATAAATCAAAAAATGAATAAATTATAACTTACTTTCTGCTGTAAGACACTAGTATTTCTTGTTCCTTGATTTGCCAAAAAAGTATTAACAGAATCATCACTATCTCCATCATCATCGTCATCACTATCCGACTGAAATTCATCATCATCATCTAGATCGCCTGTCATTGCAGCTTGTAGATCATCAATTCGCTGCAAAGCTAAAGCTAAATCTGCCTTAACAGTTGCAACTTCGGCCTCAGCTTGTTCTGCTCTCTTTTCCAGTGCTCTCTTTCTATTTGTATCTGCTGATTCTTTGGTCTCTCGTTCAGTCATCGATTCTCGAGCTTCCCTAAGAGATCTTTGCATCTTGCGTAAAGTTTCCTGAGCTGAATTTTCTTTACTCTGTGCTGCCTCACGTTCGCTCTCTAATCTCTCAGCTGCTTCTTTTAACCTAGTTATTTGTACTTCTAACCTAGTACGAGTAGTCAACTCCAATTGCAATTTGGATTCCAATTCGGTCACTCTTAATTGCAAACGTTTCAGGTTCAATGAACCTGCTGGATCACCGTGGGTCTCCATATTGTCTAACCGGAACGTCAATTCAGCTAATCTCTCCTGCAAATTAGTCTTGTCTGTTTCTAGTTCAGCTATGCGACTCGCTTGTTCTTGCTGAATGGATTGTTCAGCACTCAGTTGTTGTACCGTGCCTCGATATTTCTTCAATACTTCAGCTAGCTCTTCTTCATTTTCATCAAGCTGACTCTGCAAATGATTTTTATCTCTACTAAATGCAGCAGCACGTTCTTCAGAAGCCCGTTTAGTTGCTTGAACTTCATCAAGTGTAGCAGTGACCTCTGCTAGATCTGTTTCTGCCATTAATCTGGCTTTAATTGCAGAGTCTCTGGCACTTTCAGCATCTTCTAGTTGATTTCGGAGTTGTCGAATAGCTATTCTATTTGCATGACTATCACTGCGCTGTTCTTGAACAGTTTGAGCATCTCTCAATAGGGCCTTGAGCTTTTTCATATCTCGTCTAAAGCGTGCTATTGTCTCCTGGTCGTTCATGCTTCGACATCGTTCCCTGTCTTCAGCATCCACTAAACGTCTCTCTAAATCGTGTCGCTCTCTAATAAGAGCTGTGCGTTCTTCATGTTCATTTTCAATTTCACATTCCAGTGCTTTAATTTTTTTAGCAGCCGAACAACGGATCTCTTCATTTTCTTGTTCACGTTGAGCTAATTCTCTTCTGTGTTCTTTGCGCTCTTGCTCGAGTCCCATTTCTAAACGTGTTTTTACTTGTTCCAATAATTGAACTTGACCAGCAAGGTCATCTAACTCTTCTTCTTGATCTTTAAGTTTATTTTCTAATTGATGTTTTGATCGTTTAAGTGCTGCTACTTCTTCTTCAGTATTACCATTAAAAGTCAATTCTTGTAGCTCACGGTTCAATCCTACCACCTTTTGCTCTTTGAGTTCTAGCTCTAATCTGACACTCTAAATTAAAAAATAGTTTCAATTAATTAAATGCGAAATGATTAAAATAAACAAATATCTAATACTCACACTTAGGTTTTGTTCCATAGCAAATTTATCAGAAATAGCCATATCTTTTTCTCTAGTTATTTTTTCTCTTAGAGCTTTATCGTTTTTGAGTTCTTCTTGTAGAGAATGAATTTCCGTGTCGAATCTAAAATAAAAACATTAAATACTAATTTTCGTTTATAAATTTTCTGATTTGCAATTATAAAAGGCATTTTATAATAATCACAGAATAACATGTATACATTTTTTAATTGTATAATAAAACATTTTCTACGCCAATTTAACAAACTATTCGTGCCAATATCAACACATTTTGATTTTCGTCAAACCTGGTCTAAAGTCTAATTCAATATTCAAAATTTCTGAACTTACTTTTTTTGTTTTTTTTCGAGTAAGTTGTTTCTAGAATTACTCTCTTCTAACATCAGCTTTAGGTCGTTGGATTCAGCGTTCAACTTATTGACTTTACGTTTCCATTGAGCAACTATTTGACGTTGTTCTTCAACATCTTCATACACACCGGCCAACTATCAAAATGTTAAGTTGAAAACAATAATAACGGCAAGTTTCGTGTAGCTCACTGTGACACCACTTACCTTCTTCTCCAACTGTTTCTTCATGGCCACCAACTGTTCCATATCATCGTTATGCTGTTGTTGTAGTCTTTTCTTTGCATAATCCAACTCTCGACACACTCTCTCGTACCTCCTCCTATAATACTGGTCACCCTTATCACTAGTAGCTACGGCGCTATCGTCATCACTCACGGTACCAGCTACTGACGACGAAGAAGACATGAGTGAAGGATCGGTCGACCTCAAGCAAAGCAGCTGCATTTCAAGCTGCTCGTTAGTCTCGGCCAATCGGTTTTTAGCCGATTGTACCTCTTGCAATTCTTTCTCGAGTCTCTGTCGTTCGGCGGATTCCATCTCTAACCTTTCGGATACCATGGTGACGGTAGAATGTTCTTCGGCCAGGTCGGCAGTCGTGTCAGCTAACTGTCCCGAAAAAAAAAACATCAACATTACTTAGAATTTCGAATACTGATTATAGTAATAAAAAACCTTGTTGTTGACTTTGAGAAGCTCGATGAGCTTTGCGTTGAACTCTCTGTGTTCAGTAGTAGTCGAATGACACGACCGATAAGAAAGCGGCGACATGGAACGGGAAACGGAACGGGACGGTGTAGTGCCGTATCGTCTTCTCATAAGAGCCGGCGTGTACATGTTAAAAGTTTATACGAAGAGCAACTGTTTTAGTGTCGAGGATAGTACGGAGGAAAAGCGCGAGGCGACTGCGGTCAGCAGTGATGTTTATGGAAGCGTCGGTCGACTGAATGAAGAGAGATGGTCTTATTGTTTTGCTGAATGTCTCGCATTTAAAAATATCGGTCGCTTAAAAATAGAAGGGCCGGCCGGGTACGGAAACGCACGTTGGCCGCCGACCAATATAATCAAACGGGCAAAATTCAAAAACTACCGGTGTCGAACAATATGCTTATCGAGTGAATAGTACACTTACTCTTTGCTCGAGTCTGTCGTTATCAGCTTTCAACTGAGATCGCTCTTGTTCCAGCTTATCTACCCTGACTCTCAACTGATCCAGTTCGTCCTGTAAAAACACGTGGACACGTTAGAAATGACACGTCAAGCAATAGGAAAAGATAAAAATGCACATCGTATGGAAGGCGATAAAAAAAAAATTGTATAAAAAAAGCATAAGCGTTGTTTGTTCAGACGTAATCAGATAAACGACACATTTTTGTCAAATGACTGTGTGGACCGTACGAGGTCAAAATCTAAACGTTCAAATTAACANGAGGCGATAAAAAAATTTGTATAAAAAAAGCATAAGCGTTGTTTGTTTAGACGTAATCAGATAAACGACACATTTTTGTCAAATGACTGTGTGGACCGTACGAGGTCAAAATCTAAACGTTCAAATTAACACAGTAATGATATATTATTTGATAAATCGGCCGCATAGATACATTATTTGACAAACGTTAAGTAGAAAAATAAAAACAGCAGCAAACACTGGCACGGTCGGCTACGCTTGATTAACACTCTCCGGTGAAACGGAAAATCATACTTACGGACTTCTGTTTGAGTTCGTATTCGGTCCTGTGCACGTTCAACAAGGGCGTTATACGAACTAGAAGACGCCACCACGGCCAGTCTCTTACCAACATGAACTTTTTCACGTTTCGCTGGATGCATCGTATGGCAATGTCGTTCACTTTAAGTTTGGCGAAATCTTTCCTGGCCAAGTATCCACGGCACTGGGCTTGCAGTTGAGTAATGACGCCCGATAATTTTTCGTCTCGTTGAGATTCTAGTGTTTGCACGACACCAGCTCGAAAAAATATCTAAAAAATATTCAAAAATCATTAGAAATATCTCACGTGAGGTCATCGGACTCGTACACACAATTATGATTAACAGGAACCGGACCGGCAACGGCAATGAAACCGCATTGCACACGTCGAAAATGAGTTCACCGTGCGGTGGTGGAAAAAAATGTATTGTCATTTTACAAAAATTAAAGTACTCTTCTTTTTACGTAAATGTCATATCGATTCAAAAATATATACAGTGTGGTGCCTGTTATTGAATATACAACAACACAATAACCGAAACGTTATACGTTCGAGATGGTAGAAATAGCTATTTCGTTTGTTCCTATTATCTTTTTGAATAAGAGCACTGAGCGTAGAAACTACGATATTTAACACTTTGATAAAACATCACATAATCTATGATGCCTAACTAACAGTCTGATTTAACAACTACAGACTTTTCATACAAAGTCGATTGTGCTCTTTAAAAAATTCTGTGCATCTTGCCGTGTATGATGTGCAAGTTTCCAACACATACGTCAGACAGGAAATTGTTAATAAAAATCTTACAATGTCACTACAAGCATGTAAAATAAACGTGTACATCAAAAACATCATACTCCGCGTGGATATTTTTTACAGTGTTTGAACTATTAAGTTCAATTTTAACACACGTTTTTTTAAAAGTGGACGTGCAAGATAATTGTTTTTTTAATACATTTGTCAATTTCAACATATTTCTAAAATAAATTTTATACCTAATGTATAGTGTCCCAAAAATATTTGTACATGTCCCCGGGCCACAATTATCCAAACACGTTTATAACGCTAATTATATATATTATAAGGTTAAGAATGTGGAAAATAAAATTGTATTTAATTTATACACTAAAACGAACGGACATACAAGAAAGATTAGGTTGAACAATAAAACGGTAGTAAAAAAAAGTCTATAAACAATGTGAAACTCGTAGATCTATTTTGAGATGCGCGCTAACTAACTTGAACAGTTATTCGCATTTTAACGTCGGTAATAGCCTGCAGCAAATGAATTTTGTACAACATAAATGTTTTATTGGAAAGTTCGAGTAGAAGACATTGTTTTTTGCTTATCGAAGAAAGTCTTGGGCGGAATGCGCTCGAACGACTTTAACCGTATTGCGATCGAAGAGATTTAAACGACAAAGAAGAAGCTTTGGCGTGTACGCCCTACGCCCAACACTTTTTTATTTGCTGTTTACAACAACATAATAAGACTGGTCACCTGAAACATCAATTTGCATTCCAATCGCCCTCCAGTATTACTACGTGCACACATATATATAAAAAAACCCCGTTACACACTACCAGCAGCCTATTGACAGCGCAAACGTGTGTTGGGACTGTGAATAATTTTAACGATACTCTTTTCGTTTGGACCACACCGACCAGTTCTCCGGATTAAAACCTAACGGCAATACGGTTTGCAACGGCGCGACATCAACGACCGGACCATCGCTTTTTATAAGACTTGTCGTCCGCTTTTCCTGTACTGCTCTACAGGTAAATTTCAAAAGAAACTCGGTCTGTTTGCCAAAGACAAAGTCACACGCGAAACAGCAACGGCGCTGCCAAATCCCAATGATAATCTGATCTTGTTTGCTTAAAAATAAAATGGAAAATGAACAACAAACTCGTTAAGGAATACTGTTTTCTTTTTAAGGATCAAACGTGTACTCGTAAAGTTAAGAATAACTCCTTGTGAGGCCATGACGCGCTCGTAGACACAAATCACCGTAGCAGTTAACCCGACCCAGTGACAGTAAATAAAAATCCCATTGACAAAAATAGATAAGTAAACGAACGCAACGAGAAACCCGAACGGTTGCCGTAAGCAAAAAATGTCGTAATGACACGACGAATAATTTCAACTCGTCACATTAAAATAACTTATCGACAATTCCAATTGGAATTCGTTTAGAACAGCTGGTACACAAAATGAACTATGTTTTTAAGTTGCAAAACAACTTTATTACTTAAAAAGATTTTACCTTTTCGTCTCCATCGACCGTTTCAAAACTATTCGGCTCGGTGGACGAACATTCGAGAATCGGTGAGAGATAACCGCCGCTAATCATAGACGGGACGTTGTTACCGCGGCGAGGCAGAAACGCTTGAGGCGTTTGTTGGTCGACGTCTTGTGTCGGCTTTGCGCTGGTCAAAGCCGGACAAGCCGTTGTAAACAGCGACGTAGTGAACGTAACCAATTTTTCCAGCCTGTCTTCTGGGCCGGTGAGTACAACGCCGTCCGTCGTGAAGCCACCGCCGCTTGCATCGTGCACGTCTCCAAAAACCCACGAATACGGAACGGCGGCGGTAGACACGATTGATGCGGTTGTGGTTTCTTCGACCGATTCATAGCCGGAACTCGAAGGAGAACCGGGTTTGTCAACGGACGACGATTCTTCGACAACTTTATGCGTTCGCTGTTCGCAAACGGATTTTTCAGAGTCCGAACAACTGCTGGAATCATCAGAAGACGACGAAGAAGCACTACTGTCGGCTACAAACGCTAAGGGTGTAAAAAATGCTGGTTTGTCGACCGGCAATTCTTCGGCGCTGTCACAAACTCTCACTCGTGTACGCTGCATGTCATTTTTCACCGGTGCACTGGTCTTGCCCACGAATTTAGGTATGCGAGTGACGCCGGAGGTGCGGTGACAAGAAGTCGGTACCACGGTTGGTTTGGGCGGCGGTTTGTTGGTTTGAAACTTTTCACTTATTTTGGACACGGTGCCTTTGGCCACCAGCGAAGATTCGGAACGACGGCGGCCGGCGGCACTGCCATTTCGACCGGCGTCCACCCTGCCGAGCAGCGCTCTTTTTGCTTCGCGTACGCGACCGCCATCGTTCAGAGGAGGCATGGCTAATAACACTGCTAAAAAAACAAAAACAACGGGCCAAGCGATCCACTGGAACCACAGGGCCGACGACAATAACAACAGGTCTAACATATGACTCGACAGAACACCATTGCAACGGCACAACCGCGACGGACTGACACAAGACTTACAACCGTCCACACATCCGGTGCGTTCGGACTGGCCGATATAACTGTCCGGGAGGCGCGAGCCCGTCCGCCGGCGACGACGAGGCATTCGACGCGGTCCATTCAGGCGGCGCACATACATGAAAACTGGTTTCGCGCCCGAACGACGACCTTCGTCGTCATAACATTACACGACTCGGCCCAACCGTGTGGAGCCCAAACATAATCATTGACGTGGTAAACACACCGTGTACAACAATAATAATAACAATTGTCTTGCAAAAAATAAAAAACGTGACATAACGTTCCACACCTCAAATACATCAATACTCACACGACGTTCGCACGAGAGGAGAACTCAAACGGAAATACAATTATGCTGAAAGTGGATTGATAATAATTATTGTTATTTTTTATTTAGAAAGTATGGTAAATGTTCGAACATGTGATAAAGTTTGAAAGTGTAAGAAATAAATGAAGAACTGCACATTATTAAATTGATTACAAATAATGAAACAAATTTTTTCAGTGATAAAACAACAACTTCGCTTCATTTGTTCATCGCAGTAAATACATTTACTGTAATCATTCCGTTAGTAATGAAATCGTCTAATCTTTGAAGATATTCATTAGTGTGTCGAAAAAAGTAATTTTTAAGTGACTACAACTCTTAAACGTATTTGGACGTTTTCATTGAACTCTTTACCAAGAGCACTTAAAATGTGATATTTTTTAAACGACGCTTGTAATTCATACAAATATTACGATGAAAAAATAACAGGGAGAATAAATATAAATAGAACTTATCACTCAATAAATGTTTACACTTTTCGTTAGATCAGACAAAATTTTGCTACATTGGTGTATTGAACTTTGGCTCAATATGTAAACCAAGACATTATAATTATTTGGGACGAACGTGGGCTGATTATATCGATGGCACTTTGTCAGTACTTGTAACTTTTAACATGAAAGAGTGAAGTACCGTTAAAATTTGTTGGCCAGTGAAAATGAAATATTATTTTATTGGACATAGGAAGTGTTCCTAGCATTGTTACTCTGGACAAATGCCAAGATCATCTTCATTATATTGTATGAACGCCGTTGAATCACAAATTTTTAGCAGTCAAGTCCGTTCTTATTACTTTATTAGTCAATTTTGATATATTTCCAAACTACAAATAGGCGCTTAGATAACTTTACTATGTACTGACACTTTTGAATTAAAAAAAAAAAACATTTAATAAACAATTTTTATTACTAGACAATTATTGACTTATATTTATCAGAAAAAATTAAACAATAAAATATGTATTTAATTACAGACACAGATGTGTCACATACAAACTTAACAAGAAAGCTTGACTTGACGATTTGAATATTAAAATTTTAACATTTATTTTAATGCAGTTTTAAAGTACAACTAAAATCTGTTAAACATAACATAAATTATTCTTCTTTTAATTTCTTGAATAACGAGATATACAGCTCCTTATTCTTATGCAGAAAAACGAAATAAAATTGAAAGTATATAAAATGTTAATTGTTAGAAATCTTAAATAAAAAGTCGACATATCAATTATCAGTAAATCAAGAATTAACTGCGTGAAAATTCTATCAATTGTAACACACCAGAGGCGGATGTAAAAAATTAAGTTAAAATCTTATCAGATATGAATAAAGATACAATCTATTCTCACTGATTACATACAACAGGAAACAAAATAAATAATAATGAGCTCATGAGCTTTTAATGATGAATATTGCCCTACTTAACATCATTAGATGTACGTGGATGCAAATGAGTCTTTTAAAATAACTCAATTTTATATTGAATTTTTCCAGATTATTCCAAAATTTGGTTAACAGCCAACAGAGTTTGTGTAACTAATGATAGCGATAGTCGAAATAAACTAACGATATGTTCTTTTGGAAAATCGGAATTCAAGGTATTCCGGTTCAAATGTTTTTTATTTATACATTTAATTATGGGTACATACTACAGCTTTTTTTATAACGGAAATCAGTCGATAAACAACAATGCGATAACAAATCAACAATATAGCTGAGCTAATAAAGTATACCAAGTGTGGTAATTGTTGAGAAGGTCTTTGGGTATTTGAATACATCAGGAAAAAATGAACACCAAATTTATTTCCTGAAAAAAGCACTAATTTGGTCGACAATGATAAGTTTGACAGAATTCATCACTATTCGAAATGAAAATAAAATCATATTTCAATACAATAACTTACATAATGCCTAAATTGAAATGAAGATATTCTAAAGTAAAAAACATAATTTCATCGATGACCATGATATTCATTATTTTCACTTTTTCATTCCATTGCACAGAGATGTATGACTTTTTAGTTATGTCATTTGGTTTACAATAGAGAAACAAGGTCGTCGTCTCTTCTATTTTGTATTGTGTGGAGTTATCAATTATTGCCCAAACATATTTCTATAGTATTTTTAGACCAGAGAAAGACGACGTTTCATTTAACTCAACTTAGGTCCTCATCACAAGTCAACCAAGAACAAAACAAGAGTTGACAACTCCATAGGAGAAGTACATGTATATATATATATATATATATATTTAGTACGCGTGTTCTTCATCCGGTTTAAGAGTGGAAAATAATTGTTGAAATGTTGTTTGCATAAAAATAGACATTTTAATTACATAGAAACATTTAAGACGTTTTTAACTTTTGTTTGGCGGTCAATAGTTTAATAGGCGTGTTCGGGTGGTATAAATCAAAATTTTTTTATATATTATTACATACTGCACAGCCATACATAGTATAATAATATTCATGTAAGGTAAGTATTATAGAGAGCTTACAAAGATAAAAATCGCAGTGAATTCCATTTACAAACGGATACTGTTATTTTGGATACATCAGACAAAAACTATTTTGGAGTCTGGAGGTCTTCACGACCAATAATTTTTCACTAAATAATACATACTCAAATAGGTATAACTTTTATCCAAGTACAGTAATAATTAATAGTATAACATATGGAAGTTAATGTTATTAATATTCACGAGCCGTACATAATATTTTAATATTTTCAATGGTAATGTCCGTTAAATAAACAGTGTATACATTTTTTAAATTGCCGAACCTATTCTGTAGATGATTGATTTGATATGATTATAAGCCGATTGCTACACGCGCTCTTTCAATAGACCATCCCACGACGAAGGCGCAGTGTAATATGAGAACAAACTATTTTTGCCTAGTACAATATGCGAGAAAAACGTTTATAGTCTAGGACATAGTCCACACAAGAGTTATAATATTAAATAATGATAGAGTTAAGTGCACAGAGAGAATAGAACACTACTTTGATCCATTGTCACATTTAATGCTAATTCATTCCTATTGTAACAACTCGGTCACGCATACTTGTTCAAAAATCATTTCATACTTAACTAAACATATTTTAACCTCTGGGTAACAATTTCATTTCGATTATCTAGATGAAATTGTTGAAACATTCTTTAAACTTTTAATGTTTATGTTACTCGTTTACTGCTAATGAAACATTTAAATCCCAAAGTGAAATTGTTTTCAAGAGATCAAATAAAAATATACATATAAATTTAAACAATTTTATTAACAGTTAATTTTAGAAGAAAAAAAATAATGTTTATGAAAATTAAAAAACAAAATGGCGCATTAACTATTCTGATATTTTAATTTTTAATTAAGTGTCTCCGCAAAAATAACAATCGTCAGTCAAAATTCGTACAATAATAACTCAAAACTGTGATTTCAACGAAAAATCAATAAGCTGCCAAGTACACAAAGACGTGAACAAATTTAGAATATAAATTTGAGCAAATAAAAGTATACTACTTTGTAATACTTAACACAAGCATTTTTCGGATATTAAATGGGCCAGTTGGCTTATTTAAATATAATTCGATATCATAAATATCTCTTATTGATACAATCGATTAAAAATTCTCTATTTTATTTTTAATTTATTAGTAATACACATATTAGATACATTTCACACAAAATTATATTTTCAACTAGTTAAATATCAACTAATAAACCTATTATAATTTTTCGAATTGAATGAAAATTTAAAAAACATTAAAATGAGTAATTTAAAAACAAATAATAAGTGCACAGTTGTTCTTAACTGTTCATGATTACTAAATAAAATTTTGTAACTATTTTAATTAGTTGAATTAAATTCAAGACAAAACAAATTAATAAGGTCAATCATCTGTTCAAATAATTTCCAACAAACTCAATATCACAGTTGTAATTGAATGGAAATTCGATAAAATGCATTTAGTTATCATTTTGGCCATTTTTACTTTTTTGTTCCATATTCTTAATACTATCAAATAATGTAAAAATTACATCAATAATAATTTAATTGAACTTTACACTGAACATAAAAAGATTTATTTGTATAATTTCTAAGAAATTTTTTATTTGTCACACATTTCTTGAATATTAAAAAATATGAATAGAAAAATAAATATAATAGAATGGAATAAGTCTCAGTGTAAAATTTAAGATTTAAAATTTTATACTGTGCATGCTAGTTTAATAAATTACTAACACAATAAATAGTATAGTACATATTTCTATAAAATATTGTTAGTCATGATGAACCTTATAAATATAAACCAACAGCTTGAAATAGTAAAAATTGTTCATACCTGATTAACACCAATCTTGTATAATGATTCATCTAAGTCTGCTTTAGACATAATTTCAGTAACACATTGCCGATAATCTTTGATTGTACTGTTAATATCCTCATTTTTAAAGTTGTTAGGCAAAAATAAAGCAAATTTGCGAATAAATTCCACAATAAACATTGATATTGGATATCCTTGTTTGAAAAATCGAATTGTAGGCAATATATCCATACCACGCATCTAGTTGAAAATTAATATATAATATCATAAATTTTAGCTATTATATTTGTGTAATTTTGCACTCACTTGTTTTCTTAGTAGAGGTATATCAACAAAATCTAAATTTGGTTTGTTTGAAATAGGACTTAAAGTAGATGAAGTTAATTTATACAAAGAATGAAAAACTCGAATAGTTGCAACATCAGTACGATTAGAGTAACCAGCATCTATTTTAGGCATTAAACAATGCACAAAATGTTGTCCAGTTCTACGTAAAGTTTCTATTAAACCATCCTGAAAACAAAATTTAACTATTATACTACAAAATTAACAAATTTAACTACATTGTAATTAAACACACCACAGCAAATCTTATCTGTACTGACATTAATTTTCTTTTTAATGTAGCTGTAGTGCTAAGGCTACTGAATGTTGCTCGACGAATACTAGACACCCGTCTTAAAGTTTGTGTTCCATCTACAATAGCTAGTGTACTTGTAAGTCCAGCACCACGACTTTTAGAAAACACATTTGAAATATCAATACTGAAAAAATATTTATAAATAAATAATTTAAATGTTTTTTTTTTTGCATTAAAATTAATATAATAATAACATTTTATAACGTACTTTGAAGATTCATGTAATAAACCAATTGCAATCCTAGACGTATAATCTCTACACATATCTGTCCAACCTTTAGTACAATATGTGCTAGATATTGTTTCTCGAAAATGAACTAAAGTAAATTCATCAGAACGATTACCTTTTTTCAAAATATTTGAAAATGCTAAAATTAAAAGTAAAACAAATTATTAAGTTGAGTAATTATAAAAATTATTATTATTTTTTATTATGTTGTATGATAAATTTATAAAACATAATAGTTCAA